ATTCTCACACGGCGCATATAGTATGGATTACGTTGGCCCTACGGGTCAAGAAGCTACTTGACCAGACGCTTCTCGCAGTGGGATTGTCGAGCCCTTGACTCTCATCGTACGGCACTGTCATCCACCCCATCAAGCATTGCTGGGCGTTAGCGGTTGGGTGTCAGGAAAAGGTGTCTGGAAGCGAGTTTGGATCACACCAGATCAAACTCCGTGCATTATTTTGTGGCCTGCCGTCAAAGCCTGGCCAAAAGTGGAGAGCGGAATGGAACGTAAACACCTGGGGGGGGTCATTTTGTTTGCTACCCCGCAATTGCCTTCAAAGTTGCCTTGAGCGCTGCACACGGGCGCTGCTTTTATGCAACGCCCATTTGATGAATTTCTTGTGGATATTCCTGCAGGTCCCTTTGTTGAAATGTGTTTAATTCATCCAGTTGTTGCAACATCCTTAGGTGGTTTCCTGGGCAAATTTCCCGTGGCCCGTTTGTTTCAGCCAACTTTGCAACGGGTGTGGGTGTCTGTGTCTGTGTCTGTGTCTGTGTCTGTGTCTGTGTCTGTGTCTGTGTCTGTCTGTGTGTTTCTTTTGAGCGCCCTTTGCAGAGCCCAAGGGAAAACCACCATTTGGTCGGTTCCTCCAACCAACCGACAAGCCGCCCACTTTGGCACACGGCTGTGTGGTAAATACGGGTATGGTTAGCTTCCTTTTGGTTTCCCTTTAAAACCACTCCAGCAGGGGCACCCTCTAAAAAGACGCCCACATACCAACCAACCAGCCAACCAACCAACCAACCAACCAACCAACCAACCAACCAACCAACCAAGGATCGGCGAGGCGCCTGGCAACACTCCCTGCACCTGCTGGAAGAGTTGTGTGCAGCGGAGTGCCGGCCGCCGCTGGGCTTTCGTTTTGCCTGGGAAACTCACTGTCACTTGCGTTCCTGGACTTTGTACCATTCTGGCGGCAAGCACAAAATGTGGACTTGTTTTGGGGCCCCTCAGGAAGTGAACAAAAGTTTGCCAGCTTCCTTCTTGGTTCTTTGGAAGAGGGTGAAGCCTCCGATCCAAGCCATCAGCTTCCCGGAATGAATTGGTGGCTTGCAGATTTGAACCTCTGGTTCTTCTTGAGGGCAACTGGGCAGCTGCCTAAAACACCTCCAAACCACCAAATCGAAGTTATTCACGGATGAGGTGAGGTTTGGCGCAAAACGTGTTTAATCCGTGTTTAGACGTTTGGACACCAACCTGACGCCCCTTAAACAGGAAGCCAAAGGTTGTTTCAAAACAAGTTGCTTGAGCCATGGCTGAAACAAAGGGTTGGCTGAATCAAGCGGGCTGCGTCGCCTCAGTTAGTTGGCGGACGGGTTTGGTGTTTCCCGTCAGATGGGTTCAAGAGAAGTGTTCGGGTCGCGCAACGTTTTTGCTTCAAAGGCGCATCATGGGTTTCTTGGCCATCAGCGTTTCTTTGCAAGTCAGCTTGAGGCATCCTACCGCACCCGGAAATTCGGAAAAGTCTCAGAGAGATTCGTCGTTTTTGGTCTCTGCTCAAGCGCTTCAACATGCACATTCAATGCGAGCTCCAGACAAACCCTGCTGGCGTTTGAACCGTTGCACCCAACTCCGATCCCAGACTCTTACGAGTCGATTGAGTGGCGGGCCCGTTGTTCTCTTTAACCCAATTCATCGCAACCCTCATCTCCTTCTGTTGGGCGGGCTCCCCGCCAACAATAGGTTCGACCAACCAAAACGGGTTCCCCTTCGTTGTCACGGCGTTTGAATCCCTTCTTAGACTTTTTATCCCAGGATCGCGTGGGCTGTCCCGACTCAGGAATCTCATTACCTGCAACGTGGCGATCCGCCACTCGGATTTTCTCGCGCCGGCGAGCCGAACTCCAGTTCCAAAATCGAAGAGCGGTTTCCACGTTGACACGATCACTTGCCTTCCGGCCTTTAGCTGTTGCGGACCTCCTCTTAAACGGTGTCATGGGGCAGTTTCCCCAAACTTGTCCCGAAGGCTCCTTACCTGTTCAAAGCAAATTAGCGTGGCACTCCCAGCCACCTTTTTGCCACGGGCGGTACTTTCAGGTGTGGTTTTTGAAGGCGTGAATGTGTATTGGTGGCATGTGAGCTTGTCGCGCAATGTGTATCATTATTAATATTATTACTACTATGCTTAGAATTGTTATCATTATCATTACTATTCTTAGTATTATAAAAAGTATTGTTATGTCTTATTATTTGTATTACGATTCTGATTATTATGATTATTAGTACTATTGGTATTATTATTATTATTATTATTATTATTATTATTATTATTATTATTATTATTATTACTATTATTATTACTATTATGATTGCATTATTATTACTATTAGTGCTACTATTATTGTTATGTTTATGATTATTATATTGATGTATAATTAGGTTATCTCACCTCCCTCGAAATGCCCCTGTTTTTTTGTTATTGAGCCAACTCTCTTTCTCCGAAGAACGTTTGCCAAGTGTCAAGCGCATGAAACCTCCAAAACTGCTTTTTTTTTGGGGGCGAATCTCCCTCTTTTGCCGCTTAAGTTTCCGAGGCAGCTGCTGGCTGGCACACCGCGGGCTTCAGGCGGCACCGCTCTTCTGGGACACTCTGGCGACGTGTTCGGGTTTGGCCGGGCATTTGTCCCAGGTCGCCTTGAAGAAAGCGGGAGGTGTTGTTTCAAGGCGCTTCAAGCCTAATAAATATGTCCGTCCCAGCTTCATTGCGCAGATTGGGCGCATTCCCCCAAAGAGTGGAGGACTTTTGTAAAATCAATTCGTTGCGGTTTCATTTATCCTCGCTTCCCATCTATTCTCTTGACAGTGTGCTGGTTCCCCCCCAAGTGCTTGGTCTCCCAGCCTTGGAGCGCAATGGGCAAAGCCTAGTTTCTCTATATTTTCCGGTTCGTTCTCCTACACGTCCTTGTTCAGAGGCAAGGCCAGTACATGCTGCTATCCGCCATTCTCCCATTTGGTAAACGTGGAGAGCGCACGTTCACTGACCAAGTGCACTTGCCCAAGGAGATGGCAGAGCGCGCTAAGCGAGCCCTTAGCTGATCGGCGTGAGTGTTGGCTTGTGGTAACATGTCGTGTGGGAGGTGTTGTCCCTTTTGAAGCCAGCTGGGTTGCCAATCTTGAATGGGGGCTTCTGAGTCGTTGGTGTTTTCCAGCAGATCCCACGGCATGAAGCCGGATGGCGCTTCGACGTCTCGAGAACTCGCCCGGACGGCTTTGACAAGTTGGACACGGGCCCAGGGGCCCGGGCATCTGCCTGAAGGCTTCGGGGCGGCGTCCGGTGGCCGTGAAAGGCACTGGACGTGACTGCTTGGTTGGGCAAAGGTGTGAGCAACCCTCCTTGCCGGGTGAAGAATTGGCTCAAACTGTACCCTTGGTGCAAATTATTGGAAGGGGGGCGATTCTTGTGAGGCAAATATTTCTTCAGCTTTTGCCGGCCCCAACCATGCGACTTTCCGTCTCAGGCTGCGGGGAAAAGGATACAGAGTGAGCTGCCGGGGGAGGAATTCGTCGAGGTGCCTTCTTGATGTCTCTTAGCTCCTTGAATTTGGTATCATGTTTCAGACCACAAATGAGTGGAACCTTTCGCTTCCCTTTTTAAACCAGCCCGAAAAAACCGTTGCCACTGAGCAGTTGCCAACTGATGGCAATGTGCAATGATGGCGTCTGTTTGGACACGCCGACCCACACGGCAACATGAAGGCATGTCTTGACTATGCTTTCACGAAGTACACGCTGTCAAGGCCGAGGGTTCGGCGCCGAAGTTGCGAGTTCGCACGGCGCCACAGCGAGGGCGATACGACTCGCGCAAACTACGTTGAAGGTTCGTCCGGCGACGTAGAAATTTCGCACCGAGAGCGATTTGACACGCACAATCTCCGCAGAGGGTTCGTCAGCGAAGTTGCAAATTCGCGCGGCGCCGCAGCGAGAGCGATCCGTCACGCACAATCTCCGCAGAGGGTTCGTCGGCGAAGTTGCAAATTCGCACGCCGCCACAGCGAGAGCGATTCGACACGCACAATCTCCGCATAGGGTGCGTTGGCGAAATTTCAAATTCGCACGCCGCCACAGCGAGAGCGATTCGACACGCACAGTCTCCGCACAGAATTCACCGGCCAAGTTGCAAATTCGCACGGCGCCACAGCGAGGGCGATTCGACACGCACAATCTCCGCATAGGGTGCGTTGGCGAAATTTCAATTTTGCACGGCGCCACGGCGAGAGCAATCCGACACGCACAATCTCCGCAGAGGGTCGTCGACGAAGTTGCAAAGTCGCGCGGCGCCACAGCACGATGCCCTGACAGGGTTCGTCGACGAAGTTGCAAATTCGCACGGCGCCACAGCGCGGGCGATTCGACACGCACGATCCCCGCAGAGTGCGTTGGCGAAATTTCAAATTCGGACGCCGCCACAGCGAGAGCGATTCGACACGCACATTGCAGTCTCCGCACAGAATTCACCGGCCAAGTTGCAAATTCGCACGGCGCCACAGCGAGAGCGATTCGACACGCACAATCTCCACAGAGGGTTCGCCGGCGAAGTTGCAAATTCACACGGCGCCACAGCGAGGGCGATTCGACACGCACAATCTCCGCATAGGGTTCGTCGACGATGTTGCAAATTCGCACGGCGCCACGGCGAGAGCGGTCCGACACGCACGATCCCCGCAGAGGGTTCGTCCCCCCAGCGCCCGCCCCCGGCTAAGACAGAAGATTAAAGGCTGTGAGGTTCGGCTGCGTGAGCGTAAGTCCGGCTGCCTAAGTCAGGCTGCGTAAGTCAGGCTGTGTCAAGCACGCTGCGTCGTCAGCTGTGTAGCCGGCAGCCGTCAAAGAACGGATGCTTTCGGGAAAAAGGCCTGGGTGATCTTACTCATGTCGCGTGGACACGCGAACCTACCCGCTGCCACTAGTCGAGGCGATATTTTTGAACAGCCCCAGCTCCGCTCATCCCAGCATCGGCTCAGGATGCGAACCACCGCCAGCACCTTCAAGTATGGCGGGGTTTCTCGAAGTTCCGAGACTTCGAGGGGTCGTTGATGGGGTGTCAACATGGACCAAATATCGGGGTTGTGTTCCTGTGGTTTCCCAACCCAAAAAAGGATGCCGACTCACAGACCCAAATGGTTCTAACCACCCAAACTAAGAGCTCATGGTGCCAACTCCACTCAACAAAGACAGGTTCCGGTAGATGAGTGAGTTTCCTTACTCACCTACTTGCGATAGGGCGTCCACAGATCCCTCTTTAAAGTCAAGCTCCTCAGACCCAAAGGGCGCAAGAAAAAGGCGCAAAGTTCTGCTCTTCGGATTTCCCACGGTTGTATATTGCCCTGGTTGATTTTGATTCGAACAAAAAAGGTGATTCGGGTCGAACCACCAAAAAAGTAGCCCTATTGGTCTGCGATGTTCCTCTTCGCCCCAAAGCTTGGTTCATCGTCGGTCGGTTTTGTTGTTGGCAAGGACAGGATCTGAATGAGAGCTGAACTTCCCTGAGATCACCCAACAACCTGTACGTGCTTGAAATAATCCTGCCCGCTCTCTGTCAAGGTTTGCCCTTATGGCCGGGAACCCGCCTCTGGCAACCGAAATTGGCGTGCCCCCCCCCCAAAGGCCCTCAGACAAGTTGACGCCCAGTCCCTCTCCCCTTCTTGGGCCTCCAAGGGTGGCCATCTCAACTTTTAAACTCTTTGACCACAATGTGAAGACATTACCATGCGGTTGGTGCCAATCTCTTTTTTGCCCAAAAAGAGCTCGCCCTCACGAAGAAGCCTCTTGTGTGTGCAGGCCCCCCGTCTCCCAAGTTTTTGGGCTTTCGAGTCTCTCCTAAAATACCTAGCCCACCCCCAAACCCTCCACTCCAAAACCCTAGCCCCCATCCCACGGTCCAAGCTGGGGAAATCCACCCCCGGCTTTCCAGGCGCTGGTGTCACTAAGCAGATCGTCGACCACAAAGGCGACGAGCTCAAGGCTGGCACTGGGAGGTACCTGTTGGGGGGTTCCCCAAATGGGCTGCGGAAGCCCACGCAAACTAGGGTGAGCATCCAACTCATGTTGTTTCTGGCTATAGTTTTTGCAAGTAAAGGAAGCACTCAGTTCCCGAAGCCAAGCTACAACCCTTTCCCTCCATCGAATGAATCATGGCGGCTAGCTCGCCCAGTGATTCAAAGGGAAATGGCTGGTTGCCTCTTTTTGTGGCAATTGGGATCCACTGGATAAGGTCCGAAAAGCGCTCCAGATCACTATGCGACACATCAAGACTTGGATCGGAAAAAGAGACTTGCGCGATGGAAACAAGATGAAGCTTGTTTATGAGGGAACTTATGTTTTGGGGTCTATTCTCAATGGTTTCCCTTCTGGGCAACTCAACTTCGTGAGCACCCGGCTTTGTTCCTGCCGACCAATGTGGGTCTTTGTTTTTTCAAGGCACCAACTTGGTTCAAGGGAAAGCTAGTTTGACGCATACCCCTGGCAAATGAGCGTCACGTTCCTTTTTCCTACCAAGGCACAAAAGGCCGGTTGCCCTATGGTTGTCATCCTCTAGGTGTAGTGGCCACGAACCTTGTTGCAAACACTAATAAGGGGATCATGATCATGAACAACGGAATACGCGTTGATCGTTGCACACGAGCAACGATCAATACTCATTGGCGCCTTGCTTCAGTTTCTGCACGGGAGACTGCAAGACATATATATCATGCTGACACCGTTCTGAAGTGTATTGCTTTTGATTTGTTTGAACCACTCAAAAACTTTAGAGCCTCCGGCTCAGTCCGCCGACATTGTCCTCTCCCTTTTCTCCTTCTTCCTCTCTTCCTTGTCTCCCTCGTGTGTTCTGTCGTCCTCTCTCCCTCCCTCTGCTCCCATCCTCCCCATCCCCCCAAGCCTCTCTCTCCCCACTCTCCCTCTCTCGTATGTATGCATGCATGTACATGTATGTATGTATGTATGTATGTATGTATGTATGTATGTATGTATGTATGTATGTATGTATGTATGTATGTATGTATGTATGTATGTATGTATGTATGTATGTATGTATGTATGTATGTATGTATGTATGTATGTATGTATGTATGTATGTATGTATGTATGTATGTATGTATGTATGTATGTATGTATGTATGTATGTATGTATGTAATGTAATGTAATGTAATGTAATGTAATGTAATGTATGTATGTAATGTAATGTAATGTAATGTATGTATGTATGTATGTATGTATGTATGTATGTATGTATGTATGTATGTATGTATGTATGTATGTATGTATGTATGTATGTATGTATGTATGTATGTATGTATGTATGTATGTATGTATGTATGTATGTGTATGTATGTATGTATGTATGTATGTATGTATGTATGTATGTATGTATGTATGTATGTATGTATGTATGTATGTATGTATGTATGTATGTATGTATGTATGTATGTATGTATGTATGTATGTATGTATGTATGTATGTA